TTGTTTGCCTAATTCTTGTCCCCGCTACTAAATAGAAAAACTGGAGTAGGTTACAAAAATAGAATCACAGTGTAACATTTTAAAGAATATAGTAATAAAAGGGAAAGAAAAATGATGGTTGAATGTTCTGATAAAGCTAAGGGGAGTTACTCAACAGAAATGTATGTGTAGGATCCTGCACATTTAATAAAGTTGGTTCAGACATTTTAAGATATATTTTATCTTTTTAGGAAGTATTTTATTGAAAATTCTTAGTAAGAATTAGTCATGAATTTTGTCAAATGTCCTTTCAGCATCTGTGGAAATAGGCTAATTTTTTTCTTCTTATGCTACATTTATGGAATAAACTAGGTTTGGGCATAATGTATTATTGTACTATGTGTTGCCAGATTCTGTTTGCCAATATATTTTCTAAGGTAGTTTGCATTGATATTTATGCATATTATTGTTTAAGAAAAAAATCATTCAATGGCATTTGGTTAAAGAGAGTAAAGAAGACTTTTTTCAAGAGGGGAACTACTTTGATAGTATAGGGATCACTACAATGGGGTCTTGCAGTGGAGGAGAGAGATTAAGCTCAACTCCAAAAACAACAAGGAAAAGTCGACATTTAGCTAAGGAACAGGGTGGGAGGTGGTCAATGGGTGAAAAATTATTAAGAGGAAACATCAAGTGCAAGGGGAATTCTGGTTAAACTGACCCATAACAGGATTCTAGGCTGGCCCAGGTGATGAGGTTTCTCCTGAGGGATGGTAAAGGATAAGAAACCCGATAAAATATCAGTGATGATAAGGTATGGAGGATGTAGAATCCTGGCTAAACCATCTAAGCAGGATTCTCCATAAAACTAGACAATGTAGAGGTGAACACAGAAACCCAACAGTTAGGGCCCAGTTGAAAAAGAACTCAGAAGAGATTAAGAGTCAAGGAGAGAATCTTTATCAGTATGCTCTATAATTTACTTCTTTATGAAATTTTTGTATTTCGGAATCTGTGATAGTTGCTTTAAAAAAAAACCCCAAAATGTCTGGAACATTTTCCTTTTCATATGTCCTCAGGACCCCTTAAAGCACAAATTTGTGCTTTCAAGAGATCATTATCATCATCATAGCTACAAATACATTAGCACTTTCTGTGTGTTAGGCAGTACTGCAGGTTACTCATCACTAAGAACCCCATGTGTCTGGGTACTATGACTTTTTCCATTTTGCAGATGAGAAAGCTGAGGTACAAAGATGTTAAGTACTTCACCTTGTACTAGCAACTAGCTGAGCAGGCCTTTCCAGGCTCCAGAGTCCATGCTCTTATGCCCAGAAATTTAATTTGTCATCTAACCAAATTGTAAAAGAAGATGGGAGGGGTAAATGAATTGTTTTTTCATGTACCATACCTGATTTCCTTTAGGATCATCCTGGCTAGTTTTATGTTTGTTTTTTGGAAACTTACGTAAGAGAAATAAACCTCACTATGACAGCACTCTAAAGCAGGCTGGCTTGCACTGTGGATGTCCTCTAATAAAAATGAGAGAATTGGAATTGGTCAAATTGAGCAACTATGGGAGGATTATTTATATCATCAAAAAAATCTAGTACTTTATAAAAGATTTCAATAGTAGATTTCCTTAAACAGTAAATTGTTTCTATGCTCCACCACAGAGCATTTAAAATATTAAGCAAAAATAGATTGAAGTAATCTGCAACATTGAGGAGGCTTAACTATTAGGAATGGAAAGTTTGTTAAGGCAACTACATTCCACACAAATTTTCTTAAGTCGACATTTTAGTTAACACATTCTTTAAGTGAAAAGATCATGTTTTTTAGCACCTATTACCAGCATTTCTGATCAGGCTACCACTGCATATATTTCCAGGTTTCTACAAATCCACAAAGAATTTCGTAGTGCAGAACAGAAATAGAAATCATCTTTTTTCAGCTGTTTTAGTTTTCCATGTCTGTGTTACCAATCAAGTGCAAAAACTGCTGAAATGCATGAATGTTGAAAATTTTTAATGAGCAGAGAGAGTCAACATATGCTCCCAGATCCCAGCATCTGTTCCAATTTGTAATTGGCTGTTATGGCTTTTGCTTTATGCAAATTGACTGTGATTGTAACAAAAATTACTTTTAAATTGCTTTTATAACCATATGTCTTGGATCATGCATGTTATTTTTCTAGGATTTCGAGTCTTGTCTTAAAAACCACTCAGGCATAGTTGAATTAATGCGTATCAAGGAAGGAAATAAAAGGCTAGCTCTAAGGGACTTTATCACAGTGAAAATAATTTAAGAAAAATAGGTGTGGGAATAGGGGCACAGGGGGAAAAATTGGGACACTTGTAGTAATATAAACAATAAGAAAACTGTAAAAATAATTAAGAAAAGAAAAATAAGGATTTAGCTTTGTTTTCTAGAATTCAGTTCAAGTTTTAGTAAAAGGGCATTTTGAGGACTATATTAAGACAGCAACATAATTTTCATTGTCAAGTGCAAAATAAAAATGAAGAGTCCCTTGTTCAAAATGCAGGAAGAAAATGTCATTGAAACTACTAAAATATAAAGTTTTCTGTTTCTTCCAGAGTTTCTCTCTTAACTTGTCATGTTGCTGTTTTATTTGCTATTTATTTAATGTCATTTAGGTAAACAAAAATTAAATTTTTTATTATCAGCATGCATTTTACAATTTAGCATTATATTCTGCAATGCTAGTTTTACATGCAAATGTAAGAGTCTTTAACTCTTAAGCAGGATCACTGAAGTTATACAACTGGTATTTTGTAGTTCATTCATGCATATGTATTTCATTCTTACCAGAATAGTGGAAAAGTGCAAAATTGACTCAACTTTTTACTTCATTTCTTGATACATGCACATTCTACCAATACTCTTCTTTCAACTTGCTTATGAGTGAGGAAGAACTGAAAAGGAAAGGAACTAGGGGTTCCTCTGTCACTTCTACATCATTATTTTCAACATAAGTAGTTGGTGAATACAAGAAGTAACATGAATTAAGGAAGAATATGATAGGATTCCATGGTAATTTGTGTTTCTTAAAATGCCATTGCCTCTTTCAGCATTGAACCACATTCTGGTTCGAATGAGAAGTGTGGCCTCACGGAGCAGTCAGTGGCCCCCTCTAGGCCCCCTTACTCAGTTGTGGATGTAATACACTTACCTCATCCTGCCTTTGACTCCTGCTGAGCTCGTAGGCAATCGTGGCTCTTTTGGGATGCTAGCCTAAGGGGACAACTCCAGTGCTGTATGTGAGTGGGAAAACCTGCAGATGTGCATATTGTTCCTGCTTCCTCTGCTCACACACACACACTCCATTATCCCATACAACTTCCCTTGCAAAGCACAAAGTCAAAAACAAAAGCATTAAGAATTTCGTGATGGTGACAGTAGGTTATTAAACAAAACTTGGGGCTCTTTTGGGCATGGGACGGTGCAACTGTACATGTTGCATGCCGGTGAAGCTGACTCTGCCTCAGTGACCTTATCTACAGATTGGGGTGATAATAAGGTGTGTCATGAAGAGTAATTAAGTTATGAATGTAAAGTAGTTAACAAGTATCCTGCACATAGAAAGTACCCAATACGTGATAATTTCTTAATACCTGTATCACTTTATAGCCCAAATAAAATCAGGAAATGATTATTGTATTCATACTAGGAAACTTGATTTAGGTTAAGCATTTCTTATGTAGGATTCACTAAACAAGATATGCTTTCCAACACTTGAGACTATGAAACACAATGAACGCTCCGTTATCTGTGTTGTGCTCACGAAGCAACTATAAGATGCACAGGCAAGTCTCTGAAATCATTTTGGGAAGCTCCCTGGTTTACTTTATGCTGTGGTCATTACCCCAGCAGGTGATGGCAAATAGGGCTGTGTGAGGTGTTCAGGAAAAAAAAGGCTGGAGTCATTTAAGGTGGCTGAATTATGAGGTTGCCTTTGGCTGAGAGTGAGGTCAGCTCTGTAAAGCCTTGGGCAGATGATCCAAACTCACAGAGAGGAGACATTTGAACCCAGAATGAAAACAATGCAAAAAGTCAGATCTGCCTGAGCAAGTGGGGATACACTCTTGTTGACAACAGCATCCAAATGAAACTTGGAGTATAATATGTACAGGATCCAAAGTTACTGGAGAAATATTGTAGATAATACCCATCAATTAATCCAGTGGAGCTGCTTATAAAGTACTATTTAGTATGCCCAAAGTGCATTTGTCCTGTTATACATATTTAAACCAAGCATTCATCTTGGAAACATCAACTTAAAAAAGATTATTTGATAAATTATTAGCTCATGATTGAGTTAGCACATATTGATCATTTAAACATCATTTTATTTAAAACCTAAATATTTTTTAAAAGATACACTATTATTTTCTAGTGGCATAGTTTAGGTAAAAATTATAGCAACCTAAAATTGAGAATTTGTTTAAAAATTGTTCATAAAAATGGTTGGTTAGATACAATAACTGGCTGAGAAGTTATGCAACAGGATAAAAAATATGGCATTATAAAAACTCATATTTCTACAAAAATGAGCAATTTCCAATCATGCAACTGTTGATATGACCCACGTGTCTTATGCAAGTAGGATTTTCCTTGTCTGATTTTAGCATGTAGCTGACCCCCTGTGTAGAATAGGATAACAGAACAGACATGATCTGAATTTTTAAAAATCTCTTTGCGGAGAAAAGGATTGATGAAGATTTGTTATGAAAACCATGTCTATTCAGATTCTTTTAAGACCCATGCCCTACCCCTATCCATTTGGTTTTGAAAACCTGGATTTAATTTGTTTTAAAAACTGAACTAAACTGAACTATTCAGAAAGTATTAAGTTTCAGAATTCCTGGGTCCGCGCATCCACTGTGGTGATGATGACTAAGGCTGGGGAACACTGAGTCAGGACACGGGTGTGCTGTTGCAAATGCAGCTCTTTCTCAGAGAATTTTATTCATAAATAAAGTTATTATTATTATTTCCAGATGCAGAGCCCAAATATCTGATTGTGGTGCGACCAGCTTCTGCGCCAAGTCGAAAGAAGTCATGCTCAGGTATTCTTCATTCATTTTGTTTATTAACTCTATAGCTTTTCATCTTCTTTCACTCCATGGAGACCCAGTGCCTTGGGGAAGCCTTAAGAACCTAGATTAGAAGACGAAATATTCACTGCAGGGTCTGGGTCTGCTAACAGATTAGTAGCATAGCCTGGTGGTAGAGACTTCTCGGGACCCTATTCCAGTGTGACCACATACAAACTGCAGGGCTGTGGGAACATTATTGAAACTCTCTGTGACTCCTTTCTGCTGCATAATTAGGGTCACTGTGAGAATTAAATGAGTTCATGGATATGCCACACCTGGGACAGGGCCTGGCCCACAGCAAGTGCTCACTGAAAGTTACCCTGTTAGTCTGTCTGTATTTTGAAATGTGTGAACTCATGCCCATTATTGTGCCTTTTCAGATATTAAAGGCAAGTTTTGATGTCTAATCTTTGCTGAAGGAGACTTACATTTCAAAGGCGTAATTCATACATATGTGTTGGATTAAATGGATTGGAATTTAGATTTGATTTACTCTTGTCCTCCCTTCTAAACATCTTCTGTTGAGTTTGCAGAAGGACTCCTTTCATAAAACAGCAACGCAACACCCCTCTTTCCAGGGTTAGCAAGTCTTAACACAGAAACATAGACACATATGAATAAATGAGTAGAAACCTTTTCACATGATTAAAGGAAGATTAAAACCCTTCTTGAAATTGTCCCAGGTTCACTACTGAAGTTTTTTTCTCATATCAAAAAAGCTGGCCATTGCTACAAGGAAGGACCAGCAGAGCTGTGAATATGGTTTTACTATCTGAGCTACACCTTCCTAACTGTAGATAGAGTTGCTCTTGTTTTCTAATGTGAACTGTTCTCAAAATAATTATTTCCTAATCATACTTATCTTTAATAGTACACTGGATGCCACACACAAAAGAAGGATCTTGTGTTTTATTACATCTTTCTTAAGGTATGAAATGTGTAGGGAGAGCACACAGATCTTTATACCCAGCAAAAGGGCCTTTGGCAACTGTGTGCCCTGTCTTCTAGATGTGTCCGCCAAGCCTGGTTACCAGAAATCAGTTGCTACAGTCCTCTCCCCCTCCTCCCTCCTCTTGTTTTCCACTTCTAAAAGAAGCAATAAATGGTCTAGCATTTTGAAAATTAGATTACGGTTTTTTCTTGACCTTTTATATTATCCCAAAGCACAAGGAATATTTCAATCACTCCTTATAACTTGTTAATGATAGTTGTCCAGGCAGCTTTCCACATACTTCAAAATAAATGCACTCACAATATTTCAAGACTCTATTTCAAAATACTTAAAAACTAAAATCAAGAAGCATGAGTCTGATTCCATGGGATTCTGGCTTCATGCTCATTGAACTTTTTCTTAATGCAAATATGATCATAATAAAATATACAACAATATACAAGGAAAGTCTAGACAGTGATTGCATGTTAGTAGCCCCTCATAACTTCATTTCATTTCCTTTTGGGGCTTCTATGACCCTGGCCTTAAGAGTTAGCGTTTCACTTCCTGATGACCCATTCAGGAAATTGTTTCATCTTGCTCAGGATACAATACCCCACCTTTCTTTTCAGGCAACGGGTATAATTTTTGTTTTGTAATCTGCATTTGAGAATGATAAAATGACTAATGGATTTGCTTCCATTCATTTTATATGTGTATCAACCACATAAATTTTAATTACTTAATCATTTTATATTAACATCACAACTTAGTGAAATAATCATTTGATGGTCATGTAAGTCTTAGGTTCCCATAGTGAGAGGAAAATGTATCTTTGGTCTCTAAGTGGAGATTAATTCATATACTGTGAGTTAAACCAATAATGTAGTAAAAAGAAATCTAGATAAAAATGCAGGAGACCTAGATTTGGTTCTTGACCTTGTTTTTGGTGTGACCTTGGCCCCCCTTGAAACTTTCTGGGCCTATATTTATTTGTAAAATAAAGTGACATTAGTGGAAATGAACTCAGCAGTGGGAAAAGACATACCTCAGGGCTTTATTCAAACTACATGTGTTCCCTACCTTCATCTCAGATTCTACTCTTTCCCCCTTGTGGGCCAGACTTGGACCCTTTGAATCACAATCATACTAGATACTATGATGGATATATCTGAAAAAATGTACAGAGAAGTATATATGCATGTTTGCAACCAAATAAACTATCATTGAAAATTGTTTTAACTATCTTTTGAAAGTTTAGCTGTGTGACATTGGGGCAATTTGTCTTTACTAGGTTACATATTTTCTGGGCTCAGAAGGTTTATCACTGGAACACCAATTTGCAGAACTTAAATCTAGCAGAATAAATAGCATGACACAATTTTCAAGGGCTTTCGTTTAGACAATTTCCACTAAGCTCATGCAGTGGGTACCTTCCTACCCACTGGTTCACACTGCATTAGATTAAGATAACACAAGTCTATCCTATAGCAGATACAACAATTATAGTCTCATGAAAGGAAAGGGGACTCCAATGGTAATACAAACTATATATGTATTATGTTAGCTCTATGTAGTTTTATTAAGTCTGCCATTGGATTTTCATTTTATTCACTCTAATTTTTTTATGAGCCAGTGTTGCCTTCCATGGTTGAAGATCTTCCCCACTCTTTTTTACTGTTTCCATTCTTGTAGTTTCAAATATTTTTGAAAATGCAACTGTCAATCCCTTATATACTTAAAAAAAATCTACAGTGGTTTATCAGCATCACTGTAGACCTTGACCAAATCTATTTACTGCCATCAGAATAACTGTGCTTCCTGTATTATTTCTACTCTTCTGGTAATATTAAAAATGTATGCACATTTTCTATCTAGGTACTCACTGTAAAAATATTCTTATTTCAATAGCATGATGGGTACTTTGAACTTCTAAAAAGGTTTAAAAAACAATAAAACCTAGAACCTAAATGCTAAGCTTTCTTTTCTCTTCTTAGATGTTATTTCACATTAAATCAAAGTCCCAGGAAAAAAAAAATTAGTATGTTTTAATTTTGTCTGTAAAAGACATGAAGTGAGTGTATGTATATACATTCACACACACACGAATACTGTATGTATATGTATATAGAAATGTGTATGTTTATTTATTTCACTGGTAATAGCCAAGACCTCCATATTCATCTGACTCACATGAAAATAAAAACTAGATATAATTGGATGTAGTTTATATGCATATATTATAAATATATGAACATATACTTATATACACACATACACATATATACATACATAAATATCAAAAAGGAATATTTCATTTGATTCATGCTTAAATTCATTGTCTAAGAATTAGTAATATTTGTCAGAGTTAGTAATTGTGCATCATATGAAAAAACTTGATACTTCCAAATTCTTCATCATCTTACCACTTAACTCACCTTTATGCATTTTACCCCCATCATGAAAATACACCAAATATTACCAGAATTAACTTGTATGTTACTTCCATAGGCAAAACACGCTCTCGCAAACCTCTCCAGCTGGTGGTCGGCACTCTGACACCAAGCTCCGTCTTCCTGTCCTGGGGTTTCCTCATTAACCCGCACCATGACTGGACGTTGCCGGGTCACTGTCCCAATGACAGGTAATTCATCATAATGGAAGACTTTATTGCTCATCTGAAAATTAATGCCGTGTTTTTAATGGTATTTGTACATTTTTCAGAAGAATGTATAAATATCAGGAGCATCTGCATTTACAGATCACCTCTTAGCTCTCCAGCCAATTCTGCGTGTAAGGGGAATGAAATGACGTACCCTTTGCAGAGTTATCACCTACCTGAATGGACACACATGCAAGTATTTTGTTTCTTAACAAAGAAGAAAGCTACAAGGGCAAATAAACCAAATAGCAAATAGGGAAGTTCAGCGAGAAGTATAATAAAAGTTCAGTGGATGAGGCTGAAGGCAGTTAGGAAAGACTGTTAAAAACTGGAAAGGCTGATCTCAGAATGAAAACGAATGGATCTTTGATCTGGCAATTGAAGAAGGGCTAGAAGTAGTACTCAAAGTATGGCTCCTAAAACCAACCAGCATTAGCATCAACATCACCTGGGAACTTGTCAGAAATGGAAACCCTGGGGGTCGCTCTCTAGAGCTACTGAATCCGAAACTCTGAGGGTCGGGCCAGCGGTCTGTGTTTCGGCAGCCCTCCAGGCGGTTCAGATGTGCACTGTTTAAGACTCACTGGCTTAGAAAACCTGCAGGTACACACACAGGGAGAAATGGAAGCAGAGGAAAAGCACAGCGTTGGAAATGAGGCTATCATTTCTTTGACAAAACAGAGTAAGAAAAATCTAAGTATATTTTTCAGTTATGGCTACTCAGCCACCCAACACATGTATTTGGACTTGTCTATATGCTGGGCACCATGCTAAATGCTGAACCATGTGCTAAATAGGTTATTCAGCTAAGGTATATTAGGGTGTTTTGTTTTTTTTTTAATTTTAAAGGTTTTTTAAATTTAAAATATACTCAGTGATTTTCAAATTTTAAAAGCTGTTCCATTCCCTTTTATGCATTTTTTTGTTATTTTGTTATTGTAATTTATTAAATTATACGTGTAATTTTTATTTAAGTGTAATAAAACTAGTAAAATGCATTGATCTTAGGTGTACAGTTACAAAAAATGCATATGATTATGTATTCTACATCCCATCAAGAAATAGTATATTTTCATCATTCCAGAAAGTGCTTTCCTCAAGAAGCAACCACTGATTTGATTTCTATCACTGTAGATTACTTTTGCTTACTCTACAATTCCACAGAAAAGATAGAATCATACAGTATGTTCTCTTTTTGTGTCTATTCTTTCATTCAGCATGTTTTTTGACATTCATTCATGACATTGCAGGTATCAATATTCTATGCCTTTTTTATTCCTGAGTAGTATTTCATTATGGGAATATTCTAGAATTTACTTCTCCATTCTGTTGCAGATGGACACCTGAATGATGTTGTGGTTTTGGCTATTATATTCATAATATAATTTTATAAAAATTTTTGCATAACACTTTTGTAGACATAGCTTTTAATTTCTCTAACACACCTAGAGGTAGAATTCCTGGTTCACAGGAAAAATATATATATTTAATGTTTCTTATTTTGTTTTGCTTTTGCCTAACTTTTCCATTTATACTCCCACAAACAAAATATGAAGAGTTCAGGTTGCTCCACATTCTCACCAGCATTTCATGTTGTCAGTACTTTTCACTTTAGTTATTCTAGTGTAGGTATGTCTCATTACCATTTTAATATGCATTTCTCATGTACTAAGGCATTGAACACTTTTTCATGTACTTTTTGGCCAAATATGTATTTTTGTAGTGCTTATTTTTGTCTAAATTGAATAAAAAGAAAGACCTTTAAAAATATGTGTAAGTCCTCAAAAGGACCTTTCATATGACTTTGTTTAGGAAATCTAGACTAAGAAAAAAGATTAAGTTTCCCTTCACATATCCATTTCACAGTTCTGAAGGAAGAAATTCTTGGGAAAAGGCATGTGGAAGATATTGCCAAAACCAAATTTTTTGAGAAATAATTTTGGGATGTTTCAAAGAATCTGAAATATTTCTTATTTCACCCACCACTAAACCCATACTTATTTTGTCTGGAAAATGGATCCTTGAAAGAACATGCTTTCTTGTGATAATTCCAGTTTCTAGTGGGTTGGTCCAGGGCACCAATGCTGAGAAAATAAATAAAATGAGAAAATAAAATTTATTAATTATATAAACAAATTAAATGAGAAAATAAAATTTATTAATTGCTCATTTTAAAAAATAATTCTTTTAGTCTCTTATTTAAAAAGAAAGGCAAAAAGGGAAGAGGGAAGGAAGGAGGGAAGGAAAGTAGGAAGGAAGGAAAGACAGAAGGTAGGGAGGAAAGAAATTTGGTACACTTAAAGCAAAATGCAGTTGATTTTAATGGTTATTCAACTTGCTTGATAAATTCTTGAGGTTCAGTAACCTGCAAATTCATATAGCATAATTGAGATGTGATTACCTCCCCGCCCTCAAGCCTTTCCTTCAATCTCACCTGGTCCTAGTGATCCTTCCATGAAAGAGTTTATCTAATGACTGATTCTAATGATAGATGTTGTCATGATTTGACAGCACAAGCAGATAATGAATGTAGACAAGATAGAGGAGCAGATGGCCCAGAGGAGCTAGGATTTTAATCAGGTCAGTTAGCTCACAGGCCCAAGCAACTTAGGCCATGCGTGCTCCTCACCCCGACCCCCAACACACATTTAGGCTCTGCCTTCCTCATCAGACAGTTGATTGGCCCAGACGAATGGCTGTCAAATTATAATATTTAAATAAATAATTCAATTTAGAATAAAGTTTCTTAAAAATTAAATAGTAGAATGTCAAGATGCTTGCAAGCTTTCACACTTGAGTAAGTGAGAGAAGTCAGGCATCCTTGGTAGAAATAGAGAATTGTTAGGACATGACTAAATGGGAAGAATTAAACTGTAATAACTAAAAAGAAGCACTTGGAGTATTTGTGAATTTCATTTACCCATGCCTCCTTTCTCCCTAGCTAATAAAGAGCTGACATTTTAAAGTCTTCATGTGTTTGAGAAAAAAAAAAAAGTAGTCTCTATTTAAAAGCTCTGGAAATGCTGTTCACAATACAAGCAGCCAAATAAATCTACCAGAACAACTCTAAATTAGTGTAATTAGAAGCAGACTTGGAGAAATTCACTCTCATATGATCATGCAGATGTTTTTAGAATTTAGACTAATCTTGTAGGTTAGAATAAGCAATAATAGCTATAGGGAATGACTGCTTCTCAAAACCTGGAAGATTAATGAAGATGAAGTTTTCCTTCAAGACTATCTTCTTGCAAAACCATTGAAATCTGAATGCCCTAGGCTTGCGACAGAAGTACCAACTGGTGTTATTTTTAATCCATTGAACTCTAATATTTGCACCCCTGTGTAGAGTCTCCGACTTAAGAAAAGAAATTCACATTAGTTTGTTGGATAGCCTCATTTATCCTATGTAATTACAAATAATTTATTGGGAAAGTTTTTGCTTTTTTTACTTTCACTTTGGACTTCCTGTATCAAAGCTCTATGCAATAAGTTTCCAGTGAGAAAACCAGTATTTTGTTGGTTTGTTGGTTTGTTTGGTTGGTTTGTTTTAAACTTGGAAATATGATGAAATGTTGATTCATCCTTTGTGGCACATGTTCTATTCCTATTTGTATATGGTCCATGTGGGTCTCCCTGTTTATATATCCTTTTCTGAGTTCACATTGGAGAATAGATGTGCTTAATTTACATTTCTATAGTTAGTGGACTTTGAATGGAAGAATGTTACACTTGTCCTTGATATATCTGAGGTCAAAAGAAAGCTTTCCAAATTGGCCCAGATGCAAAGTAAAACATGTTTTTAACTGAAATTTATTTCACCATTAATGGCTTATTTTTTTCCTTTCCATGTTTCCAACTTGTTAAGTCGTTTAAGATTGCTTTAGTTATCACTTCTTTGCCAACTTGTTAAAGTTTTATGATTCATTTGCCCATTTTCTAACACTTTCATATTGTACTTATTTACTTTTAATTTAGAAGGAGGGCCTCCTTTTCAACTGGTCCAGAGCAGGCTATTGATTTTCCCTTTTTCCCCCAAAGTGTTTAAGAAGCAGGTGTTTCCAATGTTTGTGAATTCTCACCTGAATGATCCAATTCCTGGTTCTCCATTTGTCTTGCCACATAAACTTTAAGTTCTGTGAGGACAGAAATCATATGTATCTTAACCACCATTATCTCACCAGCATCTGGTACATAGTAGGCTTTAAGTAAATATATGCTGAATAATAAACAGTGAAATGTCAGCATTTTTCCTTCTATGTCTTACCATTACTTGAAACTTAACATGACAGCATTGAACTGATATATTCTCCCATGACATATCACCTCACTTGTCTTATTACTTTCTGAGGTACCATAATTCTTCCACTCACCCTAGTCAGCAACTTTTTATTTTTCAACTCCTATAACTAATGAGCCCCCAAGTTATGTTGGTTTTGCCTTTGAGAGTTATGCATTTAAGTATCTTTATCTTTGATTTCTCCATTTCCTCACCAAAGATTCCAATCCAGGCAGTCTTCACCTTACCCCGCATCACAGAAATAGCATCCTGCCTATTTTTCCTGGCTCTTTTCTGACCCTAATCTCTCTTGGCTGCAATACTGAGGAAATTTAGACTATTTGCCATCAGCCCAGATTTATCTCTACCTCTCTTTCTCTTCATTCCAAGGAACACATTTCTGACTCCACACGGTGCTCGTTGATGCATCCCTTCCATGTTCTGCAAGCCTTTTTCTTTCACATTGGCCCCTTCACTGCCATCGGTCACCTGCCTTTATTCACAAACATGTTATAGAGTTCCCTACCTCAAAACAAAATCTTCTGTTGATCCTGCCATATCTGCCAAGCTACTTTTTAATCTCCTGTCTTAATTCCTGTCTTAATCTCCTGTGTTAGAGTGATCTGTTCACATATTGCTGACTTCTGTATCACAGCCTTGACTCCATTTCACTGGCTTCCATCCCTCTCTACCATTCACTGAAACT